GCTGAACACCCTGGGGAGACCGGAGCTGGTGCGGTCCTCTGATCCGAACTGTGACCCCAACAAGAACATTTCATGAACGTGCAATAGAGAAACCTCATCGACTTAGTCTGAGATGGAGCGGTTGTCGTGGGTCATACTTCCCGTATGCTGTGACTGTAAGACGCAAGTGCTCTAAGTGTGGCAGGTTTTCTGAACTTTTATTGTCCTTTTTTTTTTTTTAAAAAAAAAGTGGTTTTTTTTAGGTTTTTATCCATGGTGTGCACCCACTACTGTATTTCCAGATTCCTGGGGAGCAATGAGAAATCCATTTAGTATGTTCTCAGTTCCCATCTCCTTCCCTTCTTATTTTTGAAAAGGCCCTTATTTGAAGTTTCAAGCAATAAACAGCAGCAGCAGGGAAGAAAGCAAAAAGAAAAGCACCACCTTTGCAGCTGCAGAGGTGGTGGGAGTGAATATTCGTTCTGCTTTTTCTCCGGCTTTCCTCCTCCCCTCTCCTGTGTCATGTTTCAGGGAGCAAGGGGCTGGGGTGGCGGGAGGGAGCTCCTTTCCCAGAATGCTGTTGCACAACCAGGTGAAAATCCCTTCTCCTGCTCCAGCCTCTGCAGCGTCAGGCACTGACCACAGTGTAACTGGATACCAAACCAGACGGTGGATCCATTCAGGTGTGGCATTTCCTGTACTTCTGCATTTGCCTTTGTACTGGACGTGCTTTTAACTAAAGCAGGGAACTTAACCGAAGCTATCAGGCTACCTGCTGAGCTATTATCCTCCCATCTGTTATTTAAGAACATCCTTAGAATACTTGAATGTCTCCACGATCCTCATCCGAGTTACTTCCCATCAGATAACACTGTAACTGCTGGATTTTACACCAAAAAAGACCTGACAAGCTCGGCTCCAAGCCAACTCTTCCTCCATCCCTTCCCAAGTGTGCCCCATGTGTATCGTGTGTGGTCAAGTGGTCTTGTTCAGTGTTCCGTGGCTTGCTTAGCCTGTGTGGTCACCTCTAGCCAGCCTTTGTCCACGAAAACTGGTTTCTCTCTCGCTCACATTGGCTTCCGTGTCTGCAGGGAGTTCAGAATGAGCGGCTCTTCGTCTGTTGACCTTTTCATTTTTTTTATATGTAATATGTATGGGAAATGGCAATAATTTCCAGGAGATCTCGTGAATGTGAAAGAAAACCTGCAGTGGTTTTTATGGAGTGTAAAAAAAATAATAAAGAAAAAAAAATGCCAGGAAAAGAAAGCTGTTTGTTGTACTTGGAGTAAGCTGCAAAAGTGCTTTGGCAGAGACCAGTGGCAGGAGAAGTCACCTGAGAAACTCCATGGCCCAAAAGTGGTGTAAGGAGGTAGAAGAGGAGGGTGACCATCACTGGGCTCTGTGCTGAAAGCCTCCAAGGTGCATCTCTGTGGAGGGGAGAAGGTGAGGGGGAGGATTGTTTTAAACAGAATGACATGAGTCATGGTGGCGTCACTTCCCAGCAGCCAGGCAGGCACTTCTGTTTTGATTCATGCATGTTTATATAAGATTTGCCATCTTGCTGAAGATGAAAATCTGAAGTAGACACAGCCCCCACTTCCTTCCTGAGCACACGCCATGGGATGCTACACACCACCAGTGTCATGCCTGGGACCAGGGCATCTGGGTAATGCTCATCTTTTCACTTTTTTAATGAAAAAAATCAATTTGAAGTGCCAGCATCTCTGAGCCATTTCGTACCCCTTTTCAGCTGGAAGTTTTTATGCTCTTTCTGGCTCATCACTGCAGCACATCTATAATCTGTATTTCCAAGTTATGGAGTTGAAAAATTTATGGTAGATGCCTGGGTGAGTTACAAAGCTCAGGGGTTCATCCATTTGTGACATCCTCCCTCTGGGAATCAAATCTCACAGATGAGAAGCTGTCAGTGGAGATGAGCCTTGGATTTCTTCCTTGTGTCAGGGGGACATGGCAGCAGCCCTGCCTGGGCTCTGGGACACCTGAACATGGGAACCAGCAGTTGGGGAGGTGAGGCAGGTGATCTAATAAAAGCAGATCAATTAATTTTCTGATTGCTCTGGAAAGTGCTCTCTGGAAACCCAAGGCCAGTTGCAGTGAAAATGCTTCTCAGCCCCCACAAGTCCCTCCAGAGCAGAAAGGTGGGCAGGCTTAGTGAGAGGGGCTGCATCCTGACCACAGAGACATACAACCTTGACAGAAACAGAGCAGCCAACAGCTGTCATTAAAACAGCATAAACCCCTTCTGGGGGAATGACAAGCTTTGTTTCTCAAGGATGGGGAAGCTGAAACCCTCAGCAGAGCTGAGGTTTGCCTGCAGAGCACAAGGCAGTGGGCTGAAGGGGTTAATGGAGGGACTGCTGGCTTTGGCAGATTTGACCACAGCAGCTGGAAAAGATCACAGGCCAGGCAGAAGAGCCAGGTATTTAGCAGAGAGGGAAGGCAGCTGCTCTGGTTTTGGAGAGGGGCTCTGATCCTGGGCTTTAGCACAGCATGTTGGTGGATAGTGTTGGCAGGGGGAGATGTTGGGCTGGGATTCAGCAAGGATGGAGAGCCAGAGACCTGCGGGAGCCTGAAAAGGGGTTGTTGTCATGCACAGGCACAGAAGCCTGAGGTTTGTGTTCCTGCCCAGGGCACCGTTCCCCTCTGCTTGGCTGGTCCCAACTCATGTCTCCTCCCTGCAGGCTGAAGGAAGCCCCAGCATCCCGGGCAGAGCAGGTTCTAAATGCTGCCACATGGGATGTGCTCCCATGCTTGTGCTGGTGCCTGCTTTGCTGTTTCGGTGCTAATGTAAGACCTTGCCCCCAGCTCAGCTCCTTCCCTGGCCAGCTTGGTAGATTCCACCTTTCTGAGGGGACATCACAGCCATCTGACTGCGGGGCTCTGGGGTGAGAGCACATACTCTCCTCCGTCCCTGGCCATGCTGCTCCCATGGGCAGGGAGGAGCTGCGGACCCAAGCACTGTGTGAAGGTAAGTGTGACAAATCAGGATGGCACCTACCTGGGAGATGGGATGTGTGAGTTTGAACCTGCATGGGCAGGGCAGGAACCCCGATTCTCTGTCTCCAGGCACGAGCACACAACAGCTACCTCCATCCTTAGGGAAAGGAATGGCTCTGACAGTGTTTTGTGGCGTGTGTGTTGAGCAAATTCACTAGATTGGGTAGGATGGAAGATTTAGGGGGCCTTAATAGCCCAGATGGGTTTGGTTTTGGGTAGCTCACTCCTAGGGATGGAAGTTCAGCTCAGGCAGGTGCGTGGGTAAAAGAGCTGAAGGATGGGGGCTGACAGTGATGGGGGCTGAACTGGCTGGTTCAATGTGCCAGCTAAGCTTGGTGGAGGAGTAGGGATCTCAAAGACAAAGTTCTGATGGAAAATAGAGACCTATGTAGCTGTAACAGCAAGGGGAAGGCTATAGCAGGATGCTTTCAGACATGAGAAAATACAAGTGAGGGGAAAGATGCCAGGAATGCTGTACCCTTAGGCAAAACTTTGATTGGAACTTATCCCTTGTGATACCTGAATCCAAAGAAGATGAGAGGAAATGTCACAGAAAAGGGGATTTTGCAGGTCCTGCTGCCCATGGAAGTGCCGGTTCAGGGCTGCCCTGGGACATGAGCATCTCTCTCCACTGACGCTCCTGATGGTGTACCCTTATGTCCTGGACTCCTCGGTGTCACTTGAGAGCTGTTTCAGATTCCAATGTGGGACTGAAGAGGGCTTGTGCCACACGGCTTTTGGTCTCTTGCATTTAGGCTTGCAAAGAGCAGTCACGTTGTAAGCATGAGTGCTGTTGCTCAGGCTGCCTTTCACTTCTACCTTCAAAACAAACAAACTCTTCAAAAAACTGTGACAAAAAATACACGCCTTTGCATCATTGCAAATCGGATTGTGAAGAGATCTGAGGTGGGGGAGGATGGGTGGGTGTTGTCCTTAAGTGTCCCTATGTGTTCTTTTAGTCCATACCCTTGCAGGTGTGATTTGCAGTCTATGCTGGTTACAAAGGCTTCTGCTGCTTCTCTGATTAAGGGACTTTCCAAAAGGCAGAAATTACATCCTGACCAGTAAAATCCAGGTAAAATTCACCTGCTCCGTGGGGAGTTTATACTGAGGTGCCCATTCCTGGTCCCTGAGCAACACAAGGTAGGTAGCTCTTCTCAGCTTCTTGCCTCCTGGTGGAGAGCTGCTTTTTTCAGGAGCCAAAGCGTGAATGAACAAGGTATTCTGCAGGCGTTTTTATTTGTATGCTAAAAACAACACTTACCCTGCTGGGAAGTCAAAGGTCCAAATGTGCCTGTAACATGGCAAAAGTAAGTGAGGCTCCAGGCATGGTGAATTTGACCCGCCATCTCCACTTTTCTCGGCTTCATACTAATTGGAGAGGGGACACGCTGCCAGCTCACTCTCTGGGGAGAAAAAGGCAGGAACCAATTTGCAGAGCCACATAAATATGGAAGTAGGATTTTTTTTTGACGTGGGAGGTGTTACCAGTACCACAGATTACGGTTCCTTGGCTTTATCACATCATAGGCTTTTACCAAGACATGAGTAAGTTCGCTAAATAAGGAATATGAAAATAGCTTGTGAAATAGGTTGAGTCATCAGAGAAAAATCAAATTAAGTTCTGACACCAGGGCCTCAGTTGTAAAGTCCTACTTTGTTCTACCATTGCATTATAAACTATGGGGTCATTTCAATCTGTTTATTTCAGCTTCAAAATTCAAAGTACTCTGACATCTAAGTAAGGCTTACCAAATGGGTTCATTTTTCTATTAGCACTGCTGCTGCATCCCGCCTATGAGCACTTGCAGGGAATGTAAAGGTTACCAAGAGAAATGGCTTCTGTGGTTATAGCTGAAATGCTCAGCACTTCTTTCAGCTTTGTCTAGTTATTAAAGAGGATTTATGGCCCCTAGATATCCCTTTCAGGTACTAGCCTACCCCTCGGAAGTCGCTGGCTGTTATTTGTAGCTCCTGGGAATCCTAGCAGGAGCTGTTGTGCTAGGAGCTATACAAACACCAAACCAACCCAGAAAGCCAGTAACTCAAGACCAGGAGTCACCGTGGTAGATAGAAAGGGAGAAAGAAGCACAAAGTCCCAAAGGGATAGCATTGCCCTCAGACTCTGATATTTCTGTCAGGGATTTTTTGCCTGCACCAGAGGAGGACCCATGCTAGGGAGACCATGGGTGGAAAGCACCTCTAGCAGACAAGAATGCATGGGATCCATGGGACCCATTGGGCATGCTGTACATGAGCAAAAGTGGGAAACACCTGTAGTGTAAATCGTACAGATACATGACACGGGTCCCTGCCCCAGCCCAGGCTCGCTGCGGTCACGACTAGTATTTCGGGACAGGCAGCACATAAAGGTGGCTGATCTGCTGGGACCGTTAGACGCTCAGGAATGACTGGCAAACTGATAAAGACCTCAAACCCCTCTGGCATAACAATTTTTCTAGACTTGGTTTTACTGAGTTACTCATGTTAGTAAAGTTACTCACATGAGTAAGCGTTCATCGGACGAGGCTTAAATCTCACGAGTGAAGCAATAACGTAGTTTTTCGTGGGCTCTCTTTTTGTATGTGTGTGTGAACAGTGGTTTATTTCTGTCACACATACTCCATTTCTGAGACTCCTTTGTAAAGCAGACAGTATTTGATAGTGAGTCATCTCTCGCTAGTTATTAAATTGCCCATACATTGCCTCCAGGCCCTGATCCAAAGCCTATTGCCTTCAGTGTTCAGGAGCTCCTGAACACAATGGGCTTCAGATCAGGCACTGGATGAATCTTTACGTTGAATCTTTATTTTGAGGAACCGTTTGTTCTAATTGGGACTAAACTTGATGCTGCATTGAAATGGAATATGAGGTCCACAGGACTAAAACTGGAACAACGTGTATATCCTCTCTGCTCTAATGCCTCCAATCATGTTAAGTCAAGTTAACTGGAAAATCAATTGACACAAATTCCAGTATGACCATTAACTGCCACCCGGCTGGGCCCCAAGAGGCTGGCCAAGATGAAGCAGATTTCTAACAGGGATGGAGCAGAACTGTACGTGTTCATCTCCTAGAGATGCTTTCAACCCGCAGTCTCCCTAGCAATATCCACGTTGCTCCGAGTAATTACTGTGGCTAACGGAGAGCCCGGGGGGTCAGGCAGCCTGGGATCGATTGTGGGCTCTGCCCTTGGCTTCCCAGGGCAAGCGGTGCAGCTGCGCTGCACGCTCCTGCTGGCACAGTCACATTTGTCAAAAGCATAAAGGAAGTGAATGAGACCTGGGCTGACCGAGCTGACCAGACCGATCCCTTGAGCATATCGAAAAGGATTGCAGCAGCAAAACCGTGTTTTCCGCAGCACAGCTCATTTCTCCTCCAGAGGATGTTTCTGCTCTGTTGGTACAAAGCAGAGCTTTGCTGATGCGCCTTTGCTCACGCAAGAAAGCATTTTGCTGATAGAGTGGACCTGAATTTCTCTCTAAATGTTTCTCGCAGGCTTATCCATGTGTCTCTGCATCCTGCATCAGGGATAATGATATTGATCTCATTCTGAGAAAGGCATAAAGCTTTTTTCATATGTTTGCAACACACATTAGACCCACGGACAAAGACTATCCTAAGCATAAGATCTCATTACTGTGATGTATTTATTGTACTGTGCTTGTGAGGCCATATGTTCCATATTACAAGAGAGAGTTTGTTGGTTGGGTTTTTTTCTTCCCCCCC